ATCATGTCCACTGGGGTGTGATACTTCAGCTTGGCCTTGTGGTAGTCCTTCTTGTAGTTCTTGTCGCTCTGCAGCTTAGCCACCTCCATGTAGTGGACCAGCAGAGGATCGTCCTGGAGGCTGCGGAAGCCAACATGGTGGCCTCTGGCCTTCTCATATTCTTTCTTGTATTGGACCTAAAAGAAAAAAGAAAGGAATTAGTTACTCGTAGATTATGGCTGATTCATTTATTTTTACTGAGATTTGTAGAAGACAAAAAACTGTTTTGGGTAAGTGTAAGATTTACATACATTGCTGGCAATATGTCTGCCTTGCTTGGCATGCAGGATAGAAATAGCGTCAGGCTTCATGTCGTATCCCTTAGCAATATCTTCCAGCCACTTGTGCCTGTAGTGACTCTGTTGATAAACAAAGAAGTGTTAGGTACAAAGATGCTGCTGAAACACATGAAGATGGCATTTTAAGGTAAGTCATTTTCCTTTAACTTGTATATTTGCTGATAAAACAACATTTAATATTGATTTTGATTTTTGATGTATTGTGCTCTAACCTCACTAACGGTCTGGGCATTGAACTTAGCCTGGAGGAACTCGGGGCTGTCAGCAGGCAGATGATAAGTGTGCATGAACTTCTCACCAGAAGCTTTGTATGCAGCCTAGAGGAAGGAAAACAAGATATATTTGTAAGAGAATGTTTGAACCAACATGCTTTAGTATTTCAATATATTAGAGAGAGAAAACATTTTTACATGGTTCAGCTGCTTTGAGTTGGAAATAGCCAGAGTCATGTTCATGGCATCGATCTTGCTTGTGAATTTCAGAGAGCTGGGATGCTGGCGGTAGCTTCTTTCATCCAATGCAGCGCTAGCAGTTTTGGCCTTCTCAACATCCAGAGAACCAATAGGAATCCATCCTGTGCCTTTGGAGAAGTTGCTATAATCTGACTTGTACAGATTCTGCAGACATATAAAGAAAAAAAGATAGTGTCATCGAACATCACATATTGTTTTTCTCCTGTGTATGTCAATCAAATGACTTACATTAGAAAATGCATATTTGTATTACAATATGGTAAAACATATAGGTGAAAAGTGAAAACACACATCGCTCTGAATCTCCATCATGTTGCGACACCGCTGAAGGTGCAAGTTGTCAGGCAGGAGAATGAAGCTGTGAGGGATCTTTCTGTATCCAGCCATAGTCTGAACAGTTGAGGCATGCTTGGCCTGGACCACGCTCATCATGTCCACTGGGGTGTGATACTTCAGCTTGGCCTTGTGGTAGTCCTTCTTGTAGTTCTTCTCACTCTGCATCTTAGCCACAGCCATGTAGTGAACCAGCAGAGGATCGTCCTGGAGGCTGCGGAAGCCAACATGGTGGCCTCTGGCCTTCTCGTAAGCCAGCTTGTACTTGTACTTTATAAACGAAAAACATTAGCAATTATGAATAACACTACCAAAGATTTTGAATAATATTAGTAAAAGTATAATCACAACTTACATTGCTGGCAATGTCCCTGGAAGATTTTGCAGCAATTATAGGAATAGAATCTTCCTTCACGTGATGTCCTTTGAGCAGATCTTGACGATGTTCATAGGTGTAGCAATTCTAAACGAAAAGATAATCAGTCTTTGTTCCAGATATAGCAATGTTTTTTTTATGTATCAAGAAAGGCAGCAACTGTTTTTAAGGAATCTGCAACTAACCTTGCTGATGTTGACAGCGTTGTATCTGGCTTGCATCAGTTCAGGGGCATCAGCAGGGAGATGGTAAGTGTGCATGAACTTCTCTCCACTGGCCTTGTACTCTTTCTGTATAAAAACATTGAAGGGTTTGTTTTATGTCTATTTCTAAAAAGAAATTCATAGATTTTATATTATGAGTTCTTCTGTTTCTTTCTCCTCACCATATTCAGGATCTTGGAGTTGGTCTTGGCCAGCTCCATGCTCATGGAGTCATAAGGACTGGTGAATTTGAGGGTGTCAGGGTGTTGACGATACTTCCTCTCATCCAGAGCTGCAGCTGCTGTTTTGGCTTTCTCCACCTCCAGGGAACCAATGGGAATCCAGCCAGTTCCCTTAACTCCGACCTCGTAATCCATTTTATAGTTATACTGAAAATGATAAAGAAACAAGTGAGAAATGAAAAGTAATTTTCATGTGAAAACACCAGTATGTATTTGTCAAAATGATGTTCGCTTAAAGGGAAAATGAAACTTACATCACTGGCATTGAAGTTCATGTTGCGAGCGAGGTCCAGACTCATAGAACCAGGCAGAAGACAGTAGTTATGGTTGTGCTGCTTGTAACCAGCAAAGGTCTGCACCAATGAGGCATGTTTTGCATGAGCCAAACTCATCATGTCCACTGGGGTGTGATACTTCAGCTTGGCCTTGTGGTAGTCCTTCTTGTAGTTCTTGTCACTCTGCAGCTTGGCCACCTCCATGTAGTGAACCAGCAGAGGATCGTCCTGGAGGCTGCGGAAGCCAACATGGTGGCCTCTGGCCTTCTCGTAGGCCTTTTTATATTGGACCTAAAAAGTGAAAGGCATGTAGCATCTTTAATTACAAGTTATATTCCCTCGGCATTGTAAAATGTGTATTATGCCTGGTACATAGCAAGGTTGCCTCAGTCTTTTAGAAAACTTACATCGCTGGCCGCATGTCTGGCAGCTTTGGCAGCGATCACAGAGATAGCATCATTCCTCATGTCATAACCTTTGGCAATTCTCTCCTGCCAGGCAAGCTTGTAGGTATTCTGGAATGACAGATACAAACAACAGTAAAAGACATGAAGACTGAAATAGAGCAATGAGTCTTATTTTATTTATAGAATTAAAAAATGTGATCTCTCAGTATTTGTATCACCTTGCTGATGTTGTAGGCATTGCACTTGGCCTGGAGGAACTCAGGGACATCAGGAGGCAGAGAATACTTCTGATGAATCTCCTCGAGACCTCTCTTGTAGAACAGCTGCAAGGAAAGAAGACAACGAAGGTAAATGTCACATGTACAGATTAAAATCAGCGCAGAATTCCTTCTCCAGAATTAACAGTGCGATTGATGGAAGACTCACGTCACTCCTCTGAAGCTGGTTCACTTTGGCCTGCATCATGGTAGGATGGTCATCGATCGAAGTGAATTTAAAGGTGTCTGGGTGTTGTCTGTATTTTTTCTGTAAGATACACAATCAACACGTTATGTGATATTTTCTGCCAAACATAGAACAGCAGGGGGAAAGTCTAACCTGGGAGACTGAAGTGACACTGTTTCACACATACCTCACTGAGGATCTCTGCCGCTTTCTTTGCGGTTTCCACCCCCATAGAGCCAAAGGGGACCCATGGTGTACCCTTGGTGTAGGAGTTGTAGTCAGACTTGTAACCGTTCTGTGATAGAGAAAAAAATTAATGGTTTCAACACATAATTCTTCCTTGAAAATGTGTCAGTAATTAAACCTCATGAAGTTTGTCTAATCTTACGTCACTCTGGATGATGTTGGCTTTCTTGGCCAGATCCAGCAGCACACTGTCATAGGGCAGGAAGTAGTTGGGGTTGATTTTCCTATATCCAGCCATGCTGGCAATCGCCTGGGATTTCTTAGCCAAGGTGACTGACATCATGTCCAGAGGTGTATGGTACTTGGTTTTAATCTTTTCATAGTCCTTTTTATAATTGCGCTGTGGAAATAGGTGAGAAAAGATTTATTCATGCAGCACTTTTTCAAACAGAAGTTACAACAGTGGAAGTAGGTAGAAAACACAAGAGTATAAAAAAACTGAATTAAAAAGAACAAACAAAAGATCAATTTAAAAAACTAGACTTTAGAGAACTCATTTATTAAAGGTTTTCACAAGAGATTGTTTAAATGACGTCTTAACTCGGTTCTATTATTTCTGCTCTAATTTTCTCATTCAGTTCTAGAATGAATATAAGGGAAAATGTGAGTCATGAAGACTCACATCACTCTGGATGTTGGCGACGTGAACGGAGTGTAAGATCTTGGGATCGTCGTTGATGCTGAGGGCTCCAACCATCTGTCCCTTGTTCTTCTCGTACTCCTTTTTATATTTCACCTTCAAAGAAGAATAACATGCTCAAAAAAAAGTACTGCGACCAAACAGAGTAATGAAAGTAACTGAAATACAGAGCAAAAAAGTGAAGCGAGAAATCTGCAACGGCTGAAATTGTAGCATACTTACGTCACTGGCTATGTTTGTGTGAGCACGGGCAGCAAGGATCGAGATGGCATCACCCTTGACCTCGAACTTTTTTGCTTTGGATTTCTCCCAATCGTACTTATAACAGTTCTGCAACGAGAGAATCGTACAATTCAGGATATTAAAAATGTACATCAAGTTAGAGCAACTGACCTTTTATGGATGAATAGAAATGAAGTGGAGAGTATTTACAAATAAAGAGTTACTTACATCACTGAGGTTAAAGGCGTTAACTCTGGACTGGATGAAGAAGGGATAATCCGGGGGCAGACTATTCTTGCACTTGGTTTCCTCATACTTTGCCTTATAGTTCAACTGTAGAAAGAAAACAAGTGATAAAAATTAAAATAGTTTTTATCTAATTCAAGACACAATAAACACAAACTGCTGTTTGATTTTCTGGCACTGGAGGGCAGCAGTGTAGCAGCTGGGTTCTATTGGAGACATATGACTGTCCCTTTTCCTACATCCCCCCCTCTCTGATCACAGGGTTTATTCTGGGCAAACTGAATGCTTGTTGCTATTTATACTACAGAGAGATGGCTCTCCAGTTTCCATGGTGCCCACGGAAGGACAGCTGGGCAACGTGGATGATAGGGCACATTTTAGGGTGATTTGCATGTCTGGAAGAATTAGATCTTATACATTTACTGACGATTGTAGAAATTCCAGTCAATAGATGGATAATGTGAAAAATAACCATGTTCACGACAACTTTATATGAATCACTTTGATTTATATGCATGCGAGAATATGTAATAAATAATTCAAATGATAGTAATGTTCATATCGATTAATATTACATCACCTTGTAAAGCAAATGTTTCAGAGATATTGTATTGTATTTTATATGAATACTAAGAGGAGGTGGTTCATAATTGGTACATACATCACTTAGCTGTTTGGCGTTGATGGCGGCTTGAACCTGAACTGGGGAATCCACCACTTGTGTAAATTTCACAGTGCCTGGATGTTGCCGGTAAACTTTCTACAATCCGTAAGACAAAAGAAAAACTTTGTGACACACATAATTGTACAAAAGAAGAGTAATGTGAATCAGATCTACTTCATATTTGTATTTTATCAATGAGGATTACTCACATCAACACACTGATGAAGCTTCTTCGAAGCCTCATACTCAGGCGTAATCGTTTGAGGGAAGAAGCATCGTGTTTTAATGTCTTCATATTCAGCTTTATACATTTGCTGCAAGACAAGATATGCAGATTGTGAGGAAAGATTTAATGAAGCACTTAATTAATTCTTACAACAGGGATTTAATGTAGAAAGATGGAGAGGAGAGATTGCAGTGACTTACCTCGTTCTTCATTTCCTCAACTTTCTGGCAGTGAAGCATATAGAGATCTTCATAGCTTCCAATGTAGTGGCCCTTCACCTCATTTTCATACTTGTCTTTGTAATGGTTCTAAAAAAAAAGAGAGATATTCATATTTAGGAATATAAAAAAAATTCTCTAAGCAATGAGAATGATTTCTGAAAAGTCTCTTGCGAAGGATTCTTACCCCAGTGAACTGTTTAAGTACGGAGTCCATCTGAAACTTGGGCGTGTCACAGTAGTTGATGCTGAAACCCTTGGATTTCTCATAGCTGGCCTTATACACTTTCTGCAAATAATATTAAAACAAATGTTGAACCCAGAACCATGTCAATCATCTAAGCAGTCTCTACTGTGATTGAAAATTCATTTTCTACGTATCGTTCCTCAAACACTTACATCACTGAGGATGTTTCCAGCGTATCTGAGTTGTCGGAGGAGAGGATTCTCAGTGGCGGGGAGCGTGTTGTAATCAGCCTGTGCCTTTGATTTCTCATATTGCTTCTTGTATTGGACCTGAACACAGAAATATGGAGATTAGTGAGAATAAGAAGAGAGGAATATATAACTCATATAACATAATAAAGCTGCTACAGTCACTCATGACTAGAAATAACTATAGACTTCTTGACATTTTCAACAATTTCCCAGGGAATAATGCACAAATGAAAAAATCTGGCACATTTAGGGAACTGATATCTCGGGGTGGAATGTGTGTGGTTTGGTGCCGCTATCCGCTCTACTGAGTGTCACTCTAGTTTATTATGTTGTTTCTAGAAACTGGTGAAACTACACACTGGGATTGTGCAGTGACAGTGAACCAAGTGTAGGTCTCTCAGTAACGCAGTGCATGTGTTCGCTCAGACCAGCGTGTCTCTTTGCGTTGAATCACACACTACTCTGAGACACAGGTCAACTCTCTGTCATGTCTTCCCCATGAGATAGTTCCTACAAAAATACTTGAGCATGTGCGTGTGCGTGTGCGTGTGTGTGTGTGTGTGTGGACCTACCTCACTAGCAGCAATGCGAGCCTTCTTGTTTGTGTCGTACACCGGCGTGTCGGTTTGCATGAAATAAATTTGGTCTTTTATATCCTCAAATTCTTGCGTGTATTTTCTCTGTAAAGAAATGCGATTGATAGTTAGAATCAGAAATACAATACTCTGAAAATCTGATCTCTTTTCTAATAGTAAGCCGTTACATTGCTAAAGTTGTCCATCGCCACCCTGGCAGTGGCCACGTCGAAGTAGGGAGTCTCACACCATTGACCCTTCACATTTTTGTTGTAATCTTCCTTGTACTTGAGCTGAAGGAAACAAATAACAATCAACGTTAGATGTATTTTGAAGAACTTACTGTAGATTACTGTGTAGAGGATATTTGGATAATGCTACTGCATAAACACCTCATCCAGAGAGCAGATGGTCAGTTATCCTTAACAATGACTTAGGGTTGGTTGGTCTCTGAAGACCATGATTCACGTTAGTGAAAAAATTAAGTTTTGAGCCTCTCAAACATATTTTAGTCGTCATTAAGATAAAACTATGTATGCACAGTATTCCGTTTAACACCTCATACTGAATATTGCTCAACTTGTGTGAGTAAAGCTCACTGGACTCAATATTACAAAGAGGCTAAATTCATCACTTTATCTACTTCTATCTTCTTGTGTTTCACATAAACGAGGTTAAAAGATTGTTCCGCTTACATCACTGCGCTGGTTGTTCACTCTCCTGGCCAGCTCCACTTCCGGAGGATCAGCCAGGGAGGTGTACTTGGCCTTGCGCTGATCGTGACCCTTCTTGTAGTGAATCTGCAGGAGAGGACGGCAGGACGTAAAATTTACTGAGGTGGTTAATTCTTCAACATCAATAGCTGACCCTAGAGCACAAATAGCATCTGCATTGAATGGGGACTTCACTACATCAGCAATTGTGTCCAAAGAGGAGGGACACAAATGGCCGTTTTAATTGCCTGTACCGTGAATGGAAAAAGCTTAATATGATACATTTGACTCAGCACAAACTAATGGACCCTGAAAAAGAGAGAATACAGGGCAGGGAAAACGTGCTCGCCTGTGGGATTGATGGCCAGGTCAATGTAAGACATGAACTGATTTATTGAGGAGTAAGACACAAACACAATAAGAATGGTCTCACATCAATCCAAGACAACTGTCAACTCCCTTTTTATGGAATAAACCACGTGTCAGATAATCTACATTGTCATGAAGCAGTACAAATACACAAATATCACCAAATCACACTCACAGAAAAATGTCTTTGTGGTACAAGTTTGTATTTCGGGTTTTTTGTTACTTAGTCAAATGAAAAACAGCATGATAATATAATATACATCTAGAAGGGCTGTGGAAAACAAACTGCTCAGAGATTGGAATGTGTGTGTTCAGCGAGAAAACACTAGCTCTTTGATTCCATCACCGCAAACCTGCTCATTGATTTGCATCATTGATCTCTATGGCCTCGTCCAATCAGAGATATTGAAATGGGAGCAGGCACCGAATAAAAGCAAACCTATCACACTCACAAAGTTCTATTGTGTCTAAATATTTAACCACATATAGATTTGAAATATAATTGTATGCTGAGTTGTGAATCGAACTTACATCGCTGAGGACCTCCTGAGCCTTGGCCACCCTGCGCAGCTCTGGGCTGTCACTGTACGGGTAGAACATGGTCTTCTCTTCGTCCCAGGCCTCGGTGTACAGTTTCTGAACAAAGTTCAAAGACGTTATTTAGTCAATGTGTGTAAAATATTTAGGCAGATACTTATGTTTAATCATGAGATGAGTTTTTATTCTTTTTATGACATGAAATGTAGACGCTTGAATACTCACTTTGCTGTAGTTGGCAGCATTCTTCACAGCCAGAACGAGCTCAGGAGCATCAGGAGGCAGCAGGTACCGATCCTTCGTCTCATCCCACTTCTGCCTGTACAGAACCTAGAAGAGATAAACAGCAATGGTGTTACACAGTCAACAGAAAACAGATTCATTTAATTTGTTTAGTGTTTTCAGGTAACTCACCTTGCTGATCAGGTCAGACACATGCTTGACGTGGGCAATCTCTCTGGCCTCTCCATCGTACATACTAGTTGTACGAGACTTATTTCCCTCCATGCGGTATTTAACCTGATGATGAAACGTTTCAAATTCATATTATTCTTGACAAGAACAAGTTAAATTCTGGTTTGAGGTATTCAGTTTTCCATAATCCTATATTTCATTTACCCAAAGTCAATATGAATTTTGTCCTATAGGATTGATTCATTTACAATAACTTTACAACCCTCATCCCTGAACTTTAGACAACATCATTTGTGGGACACTATCACCACAGGCATCAGTGTTACCTCACTCAGCTGCTCCTGGGCCTTCCTGATGCGAATCAGCTCAGGGCTGTCAGTGATGATGGAAGGAGGAGTTCCTCGGGACAAGTCATACGCATGCCGGTACTTGTTCTGTAAAACAAACATTGATTTAAGCAAAATAGTCATTATACACTCTGCAGCCACTTAAAAAAGGGATTATCTGATCTTTTTCTCAGTTAAAGCAGACAATAGTTGGCCACTCAATTCGTGCCAGAGCTCAAACTTGATTCTTACGTGGCTGTACTGCTCCAGCATCTTCTGGCTGTGAGCCAGGTACGGAGTCATGAACTTGGAAGTATCCACCTTGACCCTCTTCCTGACTTTCCTGGTGGGCAAGCCAGACTGAAGCAGAACAGAGCAGGACCACGATTAATCATCCAACGTAAAAAAAAAAAAAAAAGGTTCCATGATTTCAAAAAACACAGGCAAGGACATAAAAACATTCACTTACAACAAGCCAGTCATAAAAGACACTTGCAAGGACTCATTGATCATTTAACTGAGCTAATCACTTAAGCGATATTGGAACTGATGACAATTTGTTGATTTAACAATGATCTGAAATTGTCAAAGTGAAGAGAAAACTTACCGATTCAATTTGTGTGAGTCAGAAGTTTATATGTTATTCTATTTAATCACCTTCGACTGACTTGGTTCAAGGGATAAAAGAGGGATATGAATAAAGCATATTTCTATATGGAAGTCAATGAGAAGAATACCTTATCGTGGACTAAGTTAATGCCAGATGAAGGATGAAGACTGAAGAACAGACAAAACCAAGCCGAGAAAAGCTCCATACAAAGTTTAACCTAGACTTTCCATAAGCGTATATAGTGCTGCATGCAATGTTAGGCTGAGCAACATGTATTCATGTGTTACAGTGAACAGAGCAGTGTAGCCACAGTTAACAAAACTGTAAGAAGCCATTAACTACCCAAAAAACTGATATTTCTTCTTGGAGGTCATGTTGAACTATGGATACAAGATTCAGTTATCAACTGATAAAAAGTAGTTAAAGATCCATGCACAGTTTTTACTGATTTCTATCTTTAAAGGCTTTAAATGAAAAATGCTTTAATGCAAAAAGCTCCCGGGGCCAAAGACGCAATGTCTTCCCATGAATGAAATAGGCATGCAGTCAAAGATGGGATGCACCATGTATCAAGACAAGAGACGGTACCCTGCACAGTTTGAACCTTGGGAGGAGGTGCTTTACCTGTAGGAACTGAGTGCTGTGCTCAGTCACAGTCGACGCTGTTGTCTGCTCAACATACTACAAATATAGGACACACTCTGGGGTTTCAAAACTGCCACAACAAGTATCGGGAGAAACATCACAGTATTTCTATTGGATTGAGGGTGAAATTTCCACAGCTCTGGTGTTCTTTAATTATCACTTCCGTTATAACAAGTAGGAACTCACTTCACACCGCATCACATTTAACTGCTCGGTCTAATCTCCTCAAACAGAACGTCAACTGCACGAAAGCATTGTCATGAGGGACTTTTATTCTAACCTGTCATTCATTCTCAATTTAAATTGTCGCTGAAACAAAGATTAAATCCTCAGAGAGATTATTCTGTAATTATAACTACAGTCTAATTAAGACTGTATTCTACAGAGGAAAGAGAAACATTAATAGCCTGAGAGCTCTGATCCCCTGATCAAGTCTATAAACACCACACACTCACGTGACAATAGTTCTATTCTTATTAGTTGTTTCACAGCCCATTGTAATCGCTTGCTGCAGCCCAGAGCAGAACACAACCTGATGAAACAGCTTCATAATCTCCACGCCTGTTCAAATAAAGCTCTCTTGGGTTTAATGGATTACAAAAAATATATTTCCCTAACCTTTACCTCTGGTGATATCGAATCATGCAGACAGTTTAGGTTTGTTTCAACACATTTTAACAAATGCTTCTGTGGGATTTCTCCCTTCACTTCAATACAAAGGAGGTGACTACAACTCTATCGGTGCTGGTTGCAGCATTCATTACAAAATATAAAAGTAATTTGAAGTTCAAGATTTTTTTCCCTGTTGATTAATAATCAGAACTTTTAGTTATTTATGTGGATTATCCTCAGTAACAATTATACTGTTTCAAGTAAGATTTTTTTTACCTTTCTTCGTCAGTGTTTAGTTTTTTGTCTGTCCGATAGATATTCTTGATGTGTGTATTTAACGTGGATCTAAATTTAAATCTGGATCTAGTTCATCTGTTTGTCTGACCCTGAGCAGGCTCATGCAAAAACAAAGGAGCCAATTTTATTTATTTTTATTTGTGCCATTTGATTGAATTCATGGCCTTGGCGGAAAACTTTAAATGACAGTTTAAACTTTCATTCACCTTCTTTGTACTAAAGTAGAGGGAGAAATTTCAAAGTGAGATACCCAGAAATAGTAATAACAATATTTTGTATTGTATTTCAGAAAGTACAAGGAAAGGTGCTTTTCTAATCAAGCACCTCAGGCTACAGTGGCCGACAGTGTTCCCACACATAACTTACTACTCCATGAATAGCACGTCTAACTTTCCGCCTGTCTGAATTACTCTGCCCTCTGCTTGGGCCATACCACAGTGAAACTTTTATGATTACGAGCCAAGTGACTGTGGGAGTTAACCAATAATCAATGAGATCAAATATACCACGAATGTAAGAAACAACCAGAGCTGAGAGAAAGAACATCTCAATCATTTTAATCAACATTTGTAAGAGGCTACATTATCTGAATCTATCAGACAGGAGAGAACCATAGGAGGTTTAAATCATTTCTGACTGTGTTCATCCCTAGAAAACCAATTCAAAAACAATCTCTATCCAATTTCGGTTCGTTTTTTTCCATGCATACTCCCCTCCTAAGCAAATTTCTTGCACTGGGACGCTCAGAGTGTGATTTACAGCGCAGGGACTCGTCTCAGTCTCTCTCCTGCTTTCTCTCTTTACTTCTCCCTCCACTCCATCCCTTTGCCAATGTGCCATAGATGTCCACTTCTAAATTTGTCTGAATGCCAGACAGAGAACTCTACACTCCACCCCTTAATGACCTGAGGCCTTAAAGTCATTTTTTAAGTTAATATAAAGAAAACACTCAGAATAATAATGACTCATGATACAGATCATAATAAATAGAAATTTTAAAAACAACAAAAATGTATAAATAAATAAACTATAATCATTATTAACAGGGTCTTAATTCTTCAGCTGTATCTGACCTGCACCACACTATGTTTCTCCCCATTCTGTAGATTAAATAAGAAGCCGTCTCACTATTTATTCAGAAAAATGCAACATTTCTCCACAGTGTAGATGAAAGTGCTAGTGAAATCAGAGTGTATTGTTTTTTATGGGCATCGATCGACCTCCCGCCTCCCAGATGATTTACATCTTTACAGTAAAGATGGTAAATCTATTTGAGACAGCTGATATGTTATACGGGAGTTAAATAATAACTGGTTGATGGTTATATATGTTAATAAAAATCATTCAGACTCCCCTATAAGATATGAGCAATAATAAGTATGGAAAAATACGAGGCTAGCCTTAATCCTATTTCACCAGGAAATAAGGGATTAAACTGTTAGCCTTCTGCTTTCACTCTTCCATTGGACACTGACACGGAGACCTCAGAAGAATTTTTACACAAAATACAGCATAAAACAACATCCTGAAATCTCAGAGGTATGAGGTTTGATCAGATTATCACTGGGAAAAAATCATGTGATGGTTGTTTCAACAGGTCAATTCAGGCAAAATAAAACGTCCTGAAACTGGCACATCTCCAACTTGTATGTAACCGTATGCATCCGACAGCTAGGTATTGATTACGTCACTTCATGGCATTAATAATATGACTGAAGGTCTGTCTGTCATAGGGCCTAATGTTAGGTATCGAACTTTCAAAAGGAAACTGGTCAAATCTTCAATTTTAAATTGTTTTTATATTTAGTTGGTGACCAGACCATCGGAAAGTGTCTGCCTGAAACCGGATCCACCAGTAGACGCGAATGACTGCTTCCACAAACTGCTGACTGGAGCGGGTATCGTCACTAACTTAACTATTCATAGTTATAAACTGGACCTCAGTCGTACTAGGTCTGTACCTGCAGCTCCAGTAATCAACTTTAATCGACTCCTTCAGATAAAATTATATCTCAGGTTGGGTCATATTTGGGCTGGAGCCAATCAAATTAAATGTAGCAATAAAACTACAGTAGTCTTGCATTTCACAATAAATGTGCAATATCCAGTGAGATGTCGACTTACCTCTTCCACGATCTCCTCCTCATATTCCTCCTCTTCCTCCTCCTCCTCCTCAAATTCCTCATATTCCTCCACAACCTCCGTCATTTTGGGACGGTTTTAGAGGTTCTACAAAAACACAAATGACATTTTAAGGCATTTATTGAAACTCTGAGTGAACACATTTTGGCCTCATAAGCTGCAAAGCATATATCTAGCGGGGAACTTCACCCGTGGCACTCAATACAATTTCAAAATTTCAAGTGCACATAGCAGGATAAGAGAGCAAAGGGTCAACTGCACCTTAGAAAGCTGATAACAATCCCCATCGAAACCAAAGAGGAATAATAAACAGCAAATACAGGCCATAAAAAATATAACTTAAACATACTGATGTATAACCAAGGAGCATGCCATACCAGTAAAAGATTCCCGCAGTATTTCCTGACAGTAAGGAGGCCTCACTTGACCTCCACTAGGGTCTGAAACTGATAGTCCCGACTTTGTGATTTGCCCGAATCCTAAACAAAGTAATAAAAGATATGTGAAACACAAGTGTTGATTAGAAACTACAAAGGGAGAAGGGCAGATTAGGAAGGTGAGACACTGATGTCAGTATAACAGGCCTCTGTCTTTGAATGTGCGACAGCCGGCCCCTCCTCCTTCACTTGCCACAACAGAGCTCAGAGAACTGTGCCTCCGAGCTGAAGGTTGGCGACAGCTGCCCAACAGTGCTTCAGCTATTTGACATGTAAGCCAATGCCGCAGCCCGATTGGCTGACTCCGTTTAGCAAATGGAGATGCAATGCCTTCTGAGGCTGCAGGTTAAATATAGGATGGCACACTAACTACCTTTTTTTAGCACTCGATTACCTTCTCTTTAAAATGAAAATATACGTTTCTCCATAAACACAAGAGAAACAAGTGGAGAAGATGAGGAAGAAGGTCAGAATAAGCAGGATGGTGCCGAGATTTTGAAAAGAAAAGAGAAAGGCCGGGCTGCCGCCTTCATGTCAGATACATCCAAACGTAGGCCCGGTCTGGTCTTGCTTCAGTCTTGCAGGTCGGAATTGTTTGGTAACTCCTTCAACGTGCAGCAGAGCCTTCACGGTCCGAATCCCTCTGTCGGTTATCCACCTTGATCCAGAGGGGGCAGGGGATGGAGGTGATGGAAGTCCCAGCAGATGGAAAACCATGCAGGGTGAAGAGAAGGTGTATTTTTGTGATTTTTTTTCCCCCTTTTCTTTGCTTACCAGTAAATTTAAAGTTCCAAACTTCCAAGTCGCCAAAGCCTCCCCAGCTTCCCTCCAGAGAAACGCTGGGCTACAGCACACAGCTGCAGTTTCTACCCAGGTTATCATGTGGCCGACACAGCCAATCACAGGGCGGCGCTCTCAAGTTTCAAAATCTAAATATACCTATGTGATCCTTTCAGAAAAGAGCACCTGTCGAGGCTAATGCATCAGCGGTACAGTTATTAGGGAAGCAGTGGGGCACGCGTGGTGGGGGTCTCAAGAAAACAAAAGTAGACCCCCCCAACTGCAACAGTACCACTCTGTGCCAATGGGTATAGAACGGTTGTCTTGTTGACATGACATGTTTGGAGGTATGTTGCTTTACCTCGGGTTATAATACAGGTTTGAGGTAGTGAGGGTTAACTGAGGGCCTGTCAGGGATCTGAGTGCCAGATCTGTTGAGGTCATCTGTTAGCTAAACCCTGAGCTGCCTCGAGCCTCAGGATCAGGTCAACGTCAAACACAAGATCTGTGAGAGAAAAAGTCTATGCCCCAAGGAGTAGGAACCACAATATCTGAAAACATGACTGTGTCTGTCAAACTGAAGTCTGATGAATCGCCAAAGCCCCATGGACACGGGATAGAGCCAGTAAATGAATAATGAGCCAACCTGGGCAAGTCTTGACATTCGTTTGGAATGAAGATTGAGGATATCTGATACATTTTGACCACTTAGGACAGAGGCGCTAATGTACTGTGCAGTTTTTAGCCTCAACAATTAAATTTAAACTTCCTTCTCTTGCATGTTAACAAAACCATTTAACACTTTGACTGCCACTTGCGGGTCAGCTGTAGCTGCTATCCTATACATATATTCACTTCATGTCATGTTGAGTATACTGAGGATATGAGCGCATAAAAAGTATTTCCAGATTACATACAATTGATTTCACACGGTTTAGGACTAAAACTAAAGATGCAACTGTCATCAACTATGAGCACGTGGATAGGTGACACAGAACTTGAACTTTCACGATGAAAAATGAACCATATGTTTGTTTCCTCACTTAAAATCATGTGCTTCTATCGCTCTGGTGTGTCATAGCTCGACTCTCACTCTTTGTGCCAGAGGCCGGGTGCTGACCGGGGACAGAGACGGACAGCAGCAGCTGAATGTCTCTCTCTCTCACCCTCTGAGAAGTGTCCGTCTGTTCTGTGAGGCCCTGGATGACTGCCGCTCGGTCTTCATTAACATCACTGCAGTTCTGATCTCATCTAATCTGCAAATCTGAAGAAGTAGTCATGTTGTAAATGGTGAGTTATACCGAATATACTACATATTGCACCAAAAAAAATCTATGGTAACAGAGAGGCAAACTAATTATTTTACTATTTTAGAATACAATATTAAACGTTGAATAGGTGGAACAGATCGGTCAGGATGAGGAAAGCTTTGATGCACTTTATTCCTTATGTGAAAGGTATCAGAGACTTTTAATGATTCTAAAAGACAAAATAACGACTTCCCAATGCCAAGGACATCCAAGGAGGGGGGGGGCTACATGATGCTTGGTCACTGGAAAAAATGACTGATGACCAGTGAGACTACAACACAACAGCTGGTGGAAAGACAACCACAACATAAACACTGCCAACAGTCAATTTTAGCCCACCAACATCAAAACAATGAAATCTAGTGAGGTGAGAGGCCTAAAATGAATCCACTTTATCAGCCACAGAATGACTTCGTAAGAACACACGTCTGTCCTGACCTTTGTAGCGCCGCAAGAGGCAAGTGACATCTTGGTTTGGTCAATGTTGTAATGTAAGCAAGAGCTGGTCTATATTTAAATAATCATTAGATAATAGTTTGTTTTATTTGACTTTGGATAGATATGATAAATCGTCTTAATCGTCTCAACCTAATTGTTTAACAGAACATTAGATCTGTAAAAACAATCCAAGGAAAAGCTCAGTTTACATCTTTTTGAGGTGATATCACAATAATCCACACTCAGGTCTCCGACCCCACACTGTGGAGTGGTGTTATTGGATATATAATGTTCCGTATTTCAATTACTCATGATAATTAATTCATTATGTTCCTAATCACTTCTCTGTCAGGGAGGTTATCTTGCTTGTCAGGTTGTTGGTTAGTTTATTTGCGAGCAGAATTACGATCATGAGTATAAATTGTTCCGTCCTGAGTTAACATCAGTGTTATAGTTAAGCCTTCAGGTATTATTTGGGTTTGACTTACCTGGTGCACTACCTGAAAAAAAACAAAACATGAAACAATGACTGATGGATATTACCTGGTAGCTAGAAACATGTCTAAAATCAATATGAAACATGAGACCCAGTTTAGTATGTTTTGTGCTTTAAGAAAAATTACATGATACCTGGTAAAAAATGCATAGGATTGAAGTTTTAAATAGACGAGAGAAAAAGGCAAGAATTCACAATATTTGACCCAATAAAGGTCCAATCATGAGAAATTCTCAGGAGATCTCAGGAGATCTTGTGGCATTTATGTTATTAGCAGATGGAGGCCGCTCAGTTGTCGTTACAAAACATTTCTAAAATATCACAGCAGCGTTCAATTGTTCACGTTTTTACCCTTAAAGCAGTTCTGTCCATTAAAGGCTGAGCCACAGAGTAATTGTGCTATAAAACTAAAACTATGAGCTAAAAGGGATTAAAAAGCCCAGAAGAGCTGCAGCGTTCACTGAGCTTGTTACTTATGTTACAGTCAAACATACTGATTAATGTTTTCATATAATCTGAAACCGATCAATGATAATAAACCCAAGCCAATATTAAGACTAGTAAAAACTACACATAAAACGTGTAGGATTACATTTAAAGCTGTTCAGGGGCCGACTGTTACTCATAGTAAAAACAGAGGAGAATAAAGAGCTGCAACGAAAGTGAAATGAAAGAAGAACAAAGCATGTGATGTGTCAAAAGTGGAATGGTGGTTTCTTGCAGAGCTGTGCAACTTCAGCTGATGTGTAGAATACCACTTCTCAAACAAATCCTAGCATCTGTGTTCTCATTCATTTGAACATATTGAACACATGAGAGCTCTGTGCACAGTCCTCATTATTCTGCTGTTTTCTCCTCTAACCCACTCACTGTGCACCGCTCACATTCTGGACCTGGTCTCGTCTTCTCTCCACCTCTGCTGACTTACTGCTGTCTCTCTCTCTGGACTAGAAACAGAATAACTGAAGTTACAAACATGTACTTCCACATCATTTAAAATTGTCCCAAGAGATAAGTCATCGATACAGAAGAAAGGAGACAGTCAAAGGAGCCACCTGAAAGAAACACACATTCATGATGCAATACAATTCAACTGAAACAGATAAAAACACTTTATTTCACCGATTATTCATAGGGACTGAAAGGCAGAGGGCATTGTGTGATTTTTCCCTCCATTCTGCATGTTTCAGTCACCATCAACCATCATCACTTGAACATTCTTCGCCAGGCACCACGTTAAAAGAGAATACTGGACTGTACACACACGGGGGGGAGGGGGCGATTAAAATCGCCACAGCCAGTCCGGCAATACTGAAAGGCCACCAAGGGCTGAACTTGCACACAGCTGAAGAATAAGTCCAAAGAGTTCAAAGTCAGACACTTTGCTGACCTCTGTGTTTCTCTTAAAAGAAAACCGTGCAGAAATTTAAATAATTTGAGTCTCTTTTGCCGTCCAGTGTCCTTCTGGAAAGGTCATGTTCTTTTTTTTTTTTGTTCAGAGTTCAAACGTCTTTTGTAAAATAAATTATCACAGAAGAGTGTAACGTCCTGGCAGCGGCCTGCCCACGTCAGCTTCACAGGAAAGAGGAGAGAGGGCCATCCATCAACTGACCTCACCCTCATCCTCATTTTCAAGCTCCTGTCTGGAGGCAGAGAGAGAGAAAGAGAGAGCAAGGGCGCGCTCCTAATCAGAGTCAAAGGTCATCATCTCACACGCAGCCGTGACATCATCCACTCAAGTCCCTGGCACAACCTGGAGGTGAACGAGACATTGGGAGTGGTGGAGAGGAATGGGGATGTGGAAGAGAGAGGGAGCAGAACATGGACAAGCGTTAAAACAAAAGCTCTGTGTGTTCTTTTACGACTGAAGTCTAATATAAAGTGAGTATTAAATGCGGTTCTGACCCCTCTCCAGTGAGCGCGCAGCAGGCCTGGATGTGCCACTGGTGGTCTTTGACGGAGGTAAGCTGGAGGCTCTGGGAGATCTCGGCCACAGACATGCAGCCTTTCACATCCTGCTTGTTGGCAAAGATCAACAGCCCCGCCTTTCTTAAATCCTGGAGGGGCGGATAAGAGACGTCAAATAAGGAGAGGGGTAAGAAAGGCAACATGAGGATAATAACATTGGAGAGAAAATGGTGTGTTGATGTGGGCTGTTATGATGATATGAAGATTTCTGGATTTTTCTCTGAACACTGTGTTATATTTTAAGAGCCACATAAACATTGTGAGTTGATTTTTACTGTTATGTTTGAGCACATGAAAAGAATCTCAATCAGAAAACATCTTGGTAATACTGTTAGTCTTCGTATTAAGTCCTGTCGAACAGTATGACAGGCAGTTTTAATCCTTTTATAATCTACATGCCAGACTGCGACTTCAATTTCATAATACCCGAGTTATTATCTTATCTTATCACATTATTAAAATGTGGGTTTTATACATTTTCATAGCATTTAAAATAACTTGAATCTGCTGAGATTTATGCTTCATTTAAAAAACAAAATGTGAGAATAATCGAACATAAAATGTTTTTACAAATAACATTTTTATTGTTATGTTCTTTTTTGAGCTCTGTTAGTGGCTTAAATCACTGCAGTCAGTTTAATATGTCCCCTTTGAAAAAGGTTTGACTGATAAATCAGAGATAAACATTTTCTCTTAACAGTCGGTATTAAATTACTTCTGTCTACCCCTAAGACCTCTAACAATGTACATCTATAAAAGATGATTCAATGAAGTGTGGTAAAGACACTGTTGTACTCTTGATATTAATGAGTGAAACAATCTGTGGACATTCACATGAATGCCTGTAATGAA